TGCCACCCGAAAGCTGCAGGAACAGCATCTCATATTTTGCTTGGCAACCCTGCAGCCCAAAGGTATCAATGTGGACTTCACAAGCTTCAAAATCTCCCCTCCCCTGACCGCATCCCAAAACCAGCCCAGTTCGTCCCCGCTTCCCTAGCCATTCCTCCCACCTCAAGCCCCACCCCCATCTCCTACCCACTAACCTCATCCCGCCTCCTTGACCTGTCCTTCCTCCCTGGACCGACCTATCCCCTCCCTAACTCCCCACCTACAATCACCTTTACTGGCTCCAACCCCGCCTCTTTAACCTGTCTGTCTCCTCTCCACCTATCTTCTCCTATATCCATCTTCTATCCGCCTCCCCCTCTCTCCCCATTTAGTTCAGAATCCCCTTCCCCTCCCCCATTTCTGAAGAAGGGTCTAGGCCCGAAACATCAGCCTTCCTGCTCCTCTGATGCTGCTTGGCCTGCTGTGTTCATCCAGCTCTACACCTTGTTACCTTCCAAAATAAAGTGGCCACTTCACTGGCACCACACCCAACCACCGGTTTGAACATTCACTCCCTCTTTGCCTGATGCACAGTGCCAGCAGGGTGTACCCTCTGCAAGATGCACTGCAGTAACTCGCCAAAGCACTTTCCACAACACCCACAACCTTTATCACCTAGAAGTTAAGGGCAGCAGATATATTGGAACACCACCGGCTGCAAGCTCCTCTCAGAGCCACTGACCATCCTGACTTGGAAATATATCACCATTTCTTCAGTGTCACTCAGTGAAGATCCTCAGAATTCCTCCCTGATGACATTCTGGGTGTACTTACACCAAGTAGACTTCAGTGGTTTAAGTTGGCAGTCATCACCACTTCCTCCAGGATAATTACAAATGGGGAATAAATGCTGACCTGACCAACAATATTCACACCCCATGAATGAAAAAAAAAACCCAATAAGCTTCCAGTAGGACACAAGCAGAACTCAGCTGGGGATACAGCTCCAAAAAGTCTCCAATATTTTATTCCAGAAGAAAGAACTCTTGCCAGAAGTCAGCAATAGAACCTCTTCAACAAATGTGCTCTCTCAGTGGCCACATAAACACTGGTACAGGCAGCTTCCGAGCTCACGTTCCGAGTCCAGTGACTGAGTTGCAGCTTGTGGAATTTGTACAGTGAGAAAGAGCAGCATCTCAGGTCACGTATCTTCATGTTTCACCGTGACACAGCATCAGTACATGCAGCTCTGATTGCAAACTGAACAACAAAAACCCAGATTCACAGAATGAACAATTCTGACTCACAAAAATTACAAACAGCCAACCTGAGCCAGCTTCTGATGCGATGTTGGAAAAGTTGCAATGTAATTGCAATGTCCCCAAAATGTAAAGATCACAAACTGAGCTGAAAGCAAACTAATGACAAATCCGACCACAAGGTGCAATAGTCACGAGTGTCCTTTATTTTTAACAATAATATAATCTTACTCTGCTTAGTGGCATGGAGCTCAGTGGGCTATCCTCTTGTAAGGACGATGAAATCCTCCCTCTTTCATACGCCATGTCAAAGTCTGAGCAAACTCCTTTCTGTATTCCTAAGAGATGAGCAAAACATTTTGTTATGACCCTCGAGTTGTGAAATGGAATGAACTGCAATTCATTTGCTGTACTACAGTCACTATATGCTCAGCGAATTCAGCCTTTCACCAGATTATTAACTGACATCACTGCTCTAGAGAACAGTCAACAATCAATGCAGGGTTAGGGAAGAATAGAATGCTCTGGGGTGCAGGAGTGGGGAGGTGGGGTGAGGAAATAAAAGGGAGGTTGGGGGAGGAAGAGGACGGGAGAAGGTAGAGGGGGAGGGTTGGGAGAAGGACAGAATGGGAAAAGAAAAGAACTTAAAATAGCTCCCCACTTACACACACCTTTACTGGGTCCATCCCTGCCTCTTTGACCTGTCTGTCTCCTCTCCACCTATCTTCTCCTTTATCCATCTTCTTTCCGCCTCCCCCTCTCTCCCTATTTATTTCAGAATCCCCTTCCCCTCCCCCACTTCTGAAGAAGGGTCTAGGCCCGAAACGTCAGCTTTCCTGCTCCTCTGATGCTGCCTGGCCTGCTGTGTTCATTCAGCTCTACACCTTGTAATCTCTTAAAATAGCTAACAACTTGGCACTCCCCTTCAATAGATAAATCAGAAAGTGCAGGATTTCATACTAAGCAGATAGAGCTGTACTATCTGCAGGTTCCATAAATGAAATGCCAGTTTGGGTGTTCAAATATTCAAATTTAAATCTGGGAAAGTCTTCAATGGTATTATCTGATGTGTTTTTGAAGATGTTACCTGAGACATACACTGGAAATATTGTACCTGGGCTTACCAGAAATATCCAATGGCATGGATATACAGCGGCTCAGCAATGCTCCCCGATTATTCTCCAAAATTGGTCCCTTTAGTACTTCATTTCCTGCAGATAGGCAGACAGATAGACAGACAAAGAGAGAGAGAGCGAGGTGATGCAATGTGAATAGCAGCATCCACAGGGTCAACATCACACTGGCTGCCTCAGCTGTTCCTGTGAGAATGAGGAGATATGGCCACACTAGGGGACCAGACACTGTGAAGAAACCCCTCAAGCTGTCTATTTGGCATGAAAGGAACATCATCAATATTGAATACAAGTGTAAACTCTCACACACAATCTTAAGTTTGAATAACCACATGAATTACTTTTATAAATTTTACGAATGAAAGCATATTTTTGGGGAAAATATTATTTGGCTCAGGGACATTGCATTAGACTGACACCTAGAGAAGAAACACACAAGAAACCTGAATATCTGTGATTGGTCGAGTCCATCTCCGCCTCACACACTATCCCTTTCCCCAACTCTGCCTACATTGCAGAGGCTGCCTTAACAAAATGCTGGTACAAACTAAAGCTTGTGTTAAGTATTCACCCATGTTCCACTACCAACATTCAAAACAGACTGACAGATACAGACGTGATTATCAGAGGAATGTAATTCCATAATATTTCACATTCCGAATACAACAGATGCCCTGTAGCTCTGTCAGAGGTAGGATCAGCTTGACCCCAATGACAATGGCTTCTCATCCAGTTACTGAGGCTCCTATTGGTTAGAAGTGACCAGTCCTTGATTGGTCAGCTACCCGCACGTTTCCCCACCCTGGTCATAGTTTCTTTGTTACTTTCTAGATCCCCATAAGCGATGTTTGGCACAACATCATGGGCCAAAGTGCTGTACAATTCTATATTCTGGTTTCACTAATGTTGTCCCTTCACACTCCGAAGCACATACTTGTGGGGGCCACAGTGAGCTTTCTCCCAATCTACTGACATCGATGTGAAGTGCAATACTGCCTCAGCTGGAATGACAGAGCTCAGTCCAGGAGCTGCCGTTCCGGGGCAGACACCCTGTTGCCTGCATTCATTAAGTTATCAGTGAGCGAAGGTTAATGCAAGTATATGGGAAATATCTGCCTGCTTTAAGTCACACTATACTTCCTAACAGGACACAGTTACAGCTCTGAGTTAGAAGTTTCCTGGACATTTAGTGTATGATCCCTTCATACTTTGAATGGGACAATGAACAACTCACAATTGTCACCTGAGCGTCTCGACACAAAGGTTTCTGAGAAGCTTGTTACTGGCATCCAAAAAGTATTATAGAGTCATAGAAATGTACAGCATGGAAACTGACCCTTCGGTCCAAGTTGTCCATGCTGTCCAGACATCCCAAATAAATCTAGTCCCATGGCAGCATTTGGCCCACATCCCTCTAAATCCTTCCTTTCATATACCCACCTAGATGCCTTTTAAATGTTGTAATTGTACCAGGCTTCACCACTTCCTCTGGCAGCTCATTCCATACACACAACACCCTCTGCATGAAAAAGTTGCCCCTTAGGTCGCTTTTAAATCTTTCCCCTCTCACCTTAAACCTATGCCCTCTAGTTTTGCACTCCCCTACCCTGGGGTAAAGACCTTGTCTATTTACTCGATCCATGCCCCTCATGATTTTATAAACCTCTATATGGTCACCCCTCAGCCTCCGATGCTCCAGGGAAAATAGCCCCGGCCTATTCAGCCTCTCCCTATAGCTCAAACCCTCCAACCCTGGCAACATCCTTGTAAATCTTTTCTGAACTTTTTCAAGCTTGACAACATCCTTCCTGTTGCACACAGACCAGAACTGCATGCAGTATTTCAAAAGGGGCTTAACCAACGTCCTGTACAGCCGCAACATGACCTCCCAACTCCTATACTCAATGCACTTACCAATAAAGGCAAGCGTACCAAGGGAACTATGAACCTGCACTCCAAGGTGTCTTTGTTCAGCAACACTCCACAGGACCTTTTCATTAAGTGTATAAGTCCTGCCCTGATTTGCGTTTCCAAATTGCAGCAGCTCACACTTATCTAAATTAATTTTTGAAAGGAATATAAAAAAGTGTTGCTTTTCTTAGCAGATTCTTCCTGTTACTCCAGTTTCCTCCCACAGTCCAAAGATGTGCAGGTTAGGTGGATTGGCCATGCTAAATTGCCCATAGCGTCTAGGGTGGAAAATGAGGGATAGAGCAGGGGGTGGCTCTGGGTGGGAAGCTCTTCACAGGATCGGTGTGGACTCGATGGGCCAAATGTCCTGCTTCCGCACTGCAGAGATTCTATGATTACTTTCTATGAAAGATTCAGCTAGTAAAAAGGAAAATACTGCAAATCAGCAATGAAAATAGAAATTGCTGGAGAAACTCAGCAGGTCTGGTAGCATCTGTGGAGACAGAAACAGTTAGCATTTTGAGTCATATCAGATTTGAAACATGAACTGTTTTTCTTTCTCCACAGATATTGCTGGACCTGCTGACTTTCCCCAGCACTGTGTTTTTACTTCAGCTGACACGTGTTTAAACAGCTTGCCCTATGGAGTCATTAGTTAGATTACTGACCTACTGGAACAAGTTGGGTTTCCTCACTAGTTTCTAGAGATGTTCCCTTCTCTTGCTCATGCAGAAGAGGTACGCTTGCTTCACTGGTACTTGTTACTAGGCGAGGTTGAGCTATTTCAGTATTTGAAATGGGTTCAATGGGAGCGATTGAGACTCGTTTCACCACCCGATTCCTATCCTGCTTCTTCTTGACTATCTCCTCTCCTGTTGGGTCCTCTAATGTAGACTTTTCCTGGAACTGTGTTTCGTCCTGGTTCTCTGATTCTGTACACATCTCCCTCTCCTTAGGCATCTTGGGGCGCTCTCCCTTCAGTATGGAACGCCGCTTCAGTAGTCTCTTTTGCCCTAAGCTAGGTGCGTCATCAGTCTCAGCCTCGACTTTGGTTATTACTACATATGAGAAGTCTGGTGGTTCCTTCAATGCAGGGTCCAAAGGAATACCTTTATAAAAAGACAATGTCACAGATGAATCTGCGATTTACCAAACTATGTGAAGGTTGGTATTCCACAACCTGCCTTTACTTTTGTAAAGAGTGCCAGCTCACATATAGCCTCAGCTGAAATCATTTAACAGAACTGTGCAGGGTTCCATTTTCTAGTTTTCTTACAGGGGCGAACTTTAATACAAGCTACAGTCTGACCACATGCATTGGAGTCACCAGATTTAGGATTGGCAATGCTAAAGGAACAGGACATGAGGTGGCTTTAAGGGGGGGGTGGGAAGATGTGAGAAACCATCTTGTTACAGGCATCCAAGAAATGCAGTTAGACTACCGCTAATTATTTATGAGAAACACTTGAATTTATAGAACACTTTTTGCGATTTCAGGGCATGCAAAAAATTTTTCCACCCAATGACATGCTTCTCAAGTGCTGTCACCAGGTTAATGGAGGAAAATGCAGCTAGCATCCTATTTAGTGATAACAATCTGAACAATGAATATTGGCCATGACACTGGGGACAACTCGCCTGTCCTTTCTCAAACAGGGCCACGGGATCTTTTATGTCCTCTGACTAGGGAAGATTGAGCCTTGGTTTAGTATCACACATTAAAAGACTGCACCTGAGATAATGCAGACAAGATGGTGGCCTCCTGTGTCTGCAGTTTTCCTTCGCTTTAACTCTTTTGTTCAAAAAAGAGCGATCCTGCTGAGCCAAACCTGACATCTAAAGCTATTTTTCTTTGTTGATATTTTAAAACACGTGTTTTGGAGGCATTCTTCCAGATTTATTTGTAGCAACAAAATTTGGGTGGTAAATAGCAGCTCATTAATCAGGGCAACACTGGAGAAAATAAAAGCAATAAAAATAAGCTATTCTGAACATGACTAAATTTGAAAAAAAAAGACACATATAATCCAGATAGATGAGTCACATAGTCACCAAGCTTTTAAGTGCTAAAAGGATAACACTAGTACTTCCTACTTCACTGTGCTTCAGAACAAAATAATGTGGAGATCATGGATCAGTTGTAAAATGTCAGCATCCCAGGTTCACCAATCTTCCACTAATGCCCAACACAACAAAATGAACAAACTAATCTAGCAATTTACATAACCCTAGAGATTTCCAGCCAATCAACTCTAGTTATCATTTCACTGTGAGAAATGTAGCAGGTAGTGTGTACAGCAAGATCCCAGAACCAGGAACAAGCGAAAAGCCAGATTGTCTACTTTGGTGATGCTGCATATTGATAATCATTTGTCATATTTTCAGGGACACCTACTTCTTCTGGTCTTGACCAAATAGTGTCATTGTGACATTTTATGTCCATCTGCAAGTTAAAATAGAATTGAGGTTTGACGCCCTTTTGGAAAAATGTGATCTCCCTCACGGTGCGGTGCTGCCCCTGGGACCACCTCCCTCACGGTG